GACGTCCGTAGCGAGACGTCCGTAGCGAGACGTCCATAGCGTGACGTCCGTAGCGAGACGTCCGTAGCGAGACGTCCATAGCGTGACGTCCGTAACGTGACGTCCATAGCGTGACGGCCGTAGCGAGACATCCGTAGCGAGACGTCCGTAGCGAGACGTCCATAGCGAGACGTCCATAGCGAGACGTCCGTAGCGTGACGTCCATAGCGAGACGTCCGTAGCATGACGTCCGTAGTCTGACGTCCGTAGCATGACGTCCGTAGCATGACGTCCGTAGCGAGACGTCCGTAGCATGACGTCCGTAGCGAGACGTCCGTAGCGAGACGTCCGTAGCGTGACGTCCATAGCGTGACGTCCATAGCGTGACGTCCATAGCGAGACGTCCGTACTCTGACGTCTATAGCGTGATGTCCATAGTCTGACGTCCGTCACGTGACGTCCGTAGTCTGACGTCCGTCACGTGACGTCCGTAGCGTGACGTCTGTAGCGAGACGTCCGTAGCGTGACGTTCGTAGTCTGACATCTGTCACGTGACGTCCACAGCGAAACATCAGTAGCGAAACGTCTGTAGCGAGACGTCCGTAGCGTGACGTTCGTAGTCTGACGTCCGTCACGTGACGTCCATAGCGAAACGTCCGTAGCGAGACGTCCATAGCGAGACGTCCGTAGCGAGACGTCCGTAGCGAGACATCCATAGCGTGACGTCCCTAGCGTGGCATCTGTAGTGTGACGTCCATAGTCTGACGTCCGTCAAGTGACGTCCGTAGCGTGACCTCCGTAGCGAGACGTCCATAGCATGACGTCCATAGCCTGACGTCTGTAGCGAGACGTCCATAGCGTGACGCCTGTAGCGAGACGTCCATAGCGTGACGTCCGTAGCGAGAAGTCCATAGCGTGACGTCCATAGCGAGACGTCCGTACTCTGACGTCCATAGCGTGACGTCCATAGTCTGACGTCCGTCACGTGACGTCCGTAGCGAGACGTCCGTAGCGAGACGTCCGTAGCGAGACGTCCGTAGCGTGACGTCCGTAGCGAGACGTCCGTAGCGAGACGTCCGTAGCGAGACGTCCATAGCG